AAAAATTCGATAAACTAAAATGACTATTGGTCGACTTCTTACCTCACAACAATTAACAGTGAAATGTATTTGGCAAACAAATTTTAAGACCGAAGTCATATGCTTGTATTTTCAAAGTAAATTAATAAAAACAGAATTGTCCCAGTTTTTATATTTTAAACTGGGGTGTGCGATAGATTTACTTGCACGTGGTGCATCCTGGGCAACGTATACTCATACGGCAAAGTCTATTAACTGGCAATTGACTTCTGGCTTCTAACTACCATCACCCCACTGTATGTCATATTCTACCACTTCACAGTACTCACCTCACCATTTTGTCTATCCTCGTGTCTGTCTCTTTTACATCTGGGAATCACTCTTCTGCTCCCCCTCTCGACTTTTTTCACTTTGATGTTCCACCCCTCTATGAAGCCTGAAGTCAACTAGATGGCTAGTGATAACTATCAAAACGTCTGCCATTTGATATAAAACTTTTTAAACAAACACTGAGGAATAAAATTTGTACCAAAAATCACGCGATTTATCCCATCTGTCAGTAAGTGCTCATCCAAAAAATTGAAGTAACTATTACCAATTGGATAGAGAATTTCCTTCAATTTGGACTTCAGCTCACCAAACAGAATTTGACAGTAAACAAAAATCTAAAACGAAATCAGACTAATAGAGAAACTACCAATCGTATTTCTGTGTTTCATTGGCGAACAATATTCTCTACATTGGGAAATAAGGAGTTAAACGAATACACTTAGATGGTAATATTGGAGAAAAAATGAATCAACACCTTGAAGTATATAGACAAAATGAAAGATCTATCATATGAGGTGTAGTTAGAAACGATTCTTTTAGTTGGATTGTGGAAGACAAAGAAAACCACGAAGAAAGTCAGGTACACTATATAAGAAGCGACATTCACATGAAGAATTGTCACCAATATACTTTTTTCGGTTACAGCAGAGGATTCGAACCAATAAATCAGGCTGCCAGATAAATGAATTAATGAAGCGGCATATACACAGAATATGAGAGAACAATGAATAGTAGCAAGTAAGCAGTAGGCCACAAATATTACATTAAACCGCATCGAAAACTGGCAGTTTTGTAAATAACAGCCAGAACTGACCTTCAAAGACGCAGGTGTGAGCATATCAGTTGGGATGGCTCTGTCTGAAGCATTGCCACCGGCGCCATAAAGGACATCACCTTGCTGGTCATCGTTATTGCTATAGTATTGGGCCATGGCGGCTTCCCGTTGGTCAAGGGTGGTTAGCCAATCAGCGAGAGGCAGACAACATCGGGGTAGGGTATCGGAGAGCAATGGGCCACTGTGTGTTAGAATTGGCTTCAAGATTCTAGGGAGAAATATGAAATACAACTTATGAACTCCCAATCATTCAATTAAATCTGCTGACATCCTGGCTATATCACACTCTATTTCACCGTTTCTTGGGTTTTCGTACCATATCATTCTATGCATAAATCTTGCATAGTAAATGCACCACAAATTTAGATTCAGGAAAATTTCAACTTTACTTGACCCCCCCCCCCCCCCCCCCGAAAAGAGAATACAAGGACAGACTTTTGATAAACTTAATATTTATTTCCACTTTTCAAGTTAAATATCAATAGGCCCCTTAAATATATTTTTAGATTGAAGCCTATTTATTTGATGGACCAAAGTAACGTTAATTTCGAAAAGGCTTAACCATTACTAAAGTGCTAGAAGTTAGAAATTCACTATAGCTTTACAATTCATCAGTTTTATATCGTCAATTCCCCCCCCTCTCCCCTCCCCTCCCACACAGATATACTAATAGCATAAGACTAATCACGCAACCACAATTAACTTAAAACCTCCAGGTGCCCACTGTCATTTTCCCTCACGATGCGAGAAGTTGCCTCTTCATATTGCAAAAAAATTGTACATTCAAACCATTGAATTTAGGGAAGAGGGTGTTAAAGGAGCGACTCTTTGAAGGTTCTCAAATCGAGTAGAAGAGAGCTTGGTAACAGTTCTAGACACAAACTTTCCCTATTTCCTGATTGACGACTACCTAGGGAAGGCCGTTAACGGCAGTACCCCGTTTATGGTAAACCTATAATGGATATAACCCCAGGTTGCCTGGAATACGAATCAACTAAAATGAAATAAGAGTTTGCAGGATGGGTTCAGTAAAACTTAGATCAATAAGGCCATGAGGCGCAAACGTGAGAGTGCATAAGGTCTTGATGATAAGAAATGACTGCCCAGTCCAAATTTTGTACAGCAACTTTTAGCTAAGTACCACTTGTGGAAGAAATATGATGTAAGAGGGATCAGAAACTGTTAATGGAAGTATGAGAAACTATCAGGAATATCGAGGAAATACACTCAAGCATTGTTTAATCATTGAATAAAATGCAGTTTGCTGAGAAATCGATGAACTTTTGTCTTTAATTGTATAGAAAGCGTCGAAGAATGTAAATAGCATGCACCCTCCCCGCCATTTTTGTAACCTAATTAGTTTCTAAAGATAGCATGTTGACACGAGAACCCAATGATAACAAGAAATTAAGCAGAATTTCGTACTTTAGACAGAATCACACAAAGTAACGACGCTGTAATGAGTACATTTTGATAAATACAACGCATCGACATGACGAAAAATAGGAACAAAATCATAACAGCACCAACGCAATAATTTACAACCCAAGTTTTAGCATAAAACTAGGGAGACATAAATGTCTAAGTCTGCATGCACCGGATGCCAGTTCAGCGTCAAGGTGATGTTGGAATAACTTGAAAAGTTTGACAGTTATATTACACTACCAGATTAATTCTCATTGGCTTATTTCGGCTAAGGACCACGCTTTTATCTTATTCTAACAATAACAACAAATTTGATTGATGGGAGTGGTTAAAAAATACCCATGTTAGGGAGAAGAGCAGAATGATTGAATCCTAATTGAATAAATACTTAACTTACAAAAGCTATCATTGCGGGTAATCGTTTAAATTGATGTGATTGATTGGGTTTCTTAGAGCTATTTCAAAGACAACACAAATATCAGCTCAAAAGTAAATTATCTTCCAAGGATGAGCTTATAGCAGGGATTTATGAGAGAATCTATTTAAATAGTTTCTTGCCTAAAACTATTACATTGTTGCCACTCAAGCATCATTACTGCATAACTATATTACCCCACCTAGTCTGAAGGCAAACAATTCACACCCTGAGGAGAGCCAAACAACCCGACGTCAAACACAGCCCCAAGAGACTAGATTAGTAAGAAAATTGACTCATTTCAAATAAAGCCCTTATAATTAAGCGAACCTCGATCTCTCCCCCTCCTTTGTCTCTCTAACTTGAACCAGCGAACTGTCCTGAGGACGGGGACTTACCGAGAGTCAAACTTAAACCAGTAGGAATTGTAGTAAGTCTTGATTTTCTTCTTGCGCGGGTCTCCCTGAAGAAAAGAGTGGAAAAAACAATTTTTAAAGCCGATAAAGTTAATTCAACGAGAGACAATAAGACGAATCATTCAGCACTCCGAGCCAATGTCCAAGTAGGCGGTAGATGAGATAAAAGAATTTAAAAAGATACTGTATTAATACTACTATTAAGTCTCTGCTCATACCAACTTCGTGTCCTGTCGCCATGATGATGGGATAGACCCAAACACTTATTTTCATACATTTGTATAATATGTAATGTATCCTTCTGGGTAGGCATCTAGTCCCCCTTTCACTTAACAATATTTACATCTAATCTCCAGGCCAACCTATCAACCCCAAATCAAGAATGGCCCCTAGTGACCGTGTGCTCACCCTTATTCATTTAGACCGATCTTACGATCCTCATTCCGTTCTGCTCATGACTGACTGCCATAAACTGTTCTTCAACTTTCCGCTTAATGGGAGTTGCGGTCATTGAAGCTTACTCCTAAACCCCAATAGAAATCTAGTTTATTGATTGAAAGACTTGCTATTTTTTTTCATTTTTAACTCCTATCAACATTCAACAACTGCCTATCTCTGCTACGTTGTGTGGTATTGAAGTTAGTTTACTTGAAGATCAGTGACTTTTAATAGGTATGGTAGTAGGAGAAACCGTATTTCCGTTTATTTACCCTTCAATACACGTAATGTTGAAACTGCTTTCTACATTGGACCCCCATTTCCATCAAGCTATTTTATAAAATAAACTGGTATGAAACGGAAGGTTCGCTATAAGATTAAACTGAGTGCAAAAGCTTACACCTGAAAATCAATATCCATATAATTTTGTCTAAGTTATTCAAAACTAAGTCCTAACTGATTGCAAGTATCTAAATCAAGATACCTCTCGAAAATTTTCACTACGCACCCCAACCCCTTCAAGCATTCTACTTTTAATCTTTGATTACACTTAAACCGAATCAACAAATCGCTAATGGTAGCTTGGCTAATACATAGCAATAAGTATTTAAGTGAGGCGAGTGCAATTTTATAAACGAAGTCAGTAATAACAAAGAAATTAGCTGTGTGTAAAAAAAAACAGGAAAGCGATATGAACTTACGTTATTTGAGGCATCAGAATCATTACTTTGGATGTGGATTCTAAAAAGTACAAAAGACAAAGTATTTCAGATAATTCAAGGATAGAGAGACCCGTTCGTAGCTTTAATATAAATTATTCCTTGAGATACATTTGTTTGCAATGCTCCTCAATATGCACAAAGTGAAATTGAGCATAGCATGCAGTATACGGCAAATTGAAGCACACAGAAAGAATCCATGAAGAGCACCGACAATAACAATAACAATATGGAATTCTCTTCGGATGCATTGACAATCCATAAATGCTAAAGACTGATTGAATAAAATAGACGAGAGACAGGGCAGAACACCAGAGGACTTTCAGCTTTAATCGATGGGAATTTTTGAAATATCGCAAATGGAGACAAAATGCTTTCTTTCCTTGACTCATTAGCCTAAGCTTATTGAGAAATGAGTAAACCCATAAGCTAACGCTGGAGATAAATGATTCCACGGCAATCATAGTACGGCATTCTCCGTTTTATAACAAAATGTTACAAAGAGTATATGTTTTTAATCAAGATGACAAAAGCAACCTTCAGATTCATTCCTAAAGAAAATCTGCTCAAGCGTGAATAAACACAAGGTAACTAATGATTTCCACCTCATGAAAAATGCAGGCGAGAACAGGATAGCAGTAAGAAGTAGTTGGTTCGTTTCTGCAACTAAAACGTGTAAAAAAACATGGGTCTAAAGAAATTCAGGGTAGGTAGGATACGTGTTGGTGATAAAATGAATGTTAACGAAACCGTACCAAGTTTGTTCTTAGCGATGGAGCATTCCAATTAAAAAAAACATTTTAGAGAATTTAAATGTGGCCGAGTTTATGCCGAGTTTTTCTACATTAGAATTTCAAATCGTGCAAATTCATTCAAACTACACTGCACTCCAATTTCGGCTTAAAGTGAAATTTCGACTATTATAGTACCCCAAGTATTATTAATACTTTCCACAATAATAAAAAGTCAATAAAATTTAATTTTTTGAAGAATTACTGACGTGAAATAACAACAGTAGGGTAATGGATGTTAAATAGGAAGGAATCAAAGAGATGTAGGGATCATAGACAAGGGATCGAAATGTCCCTCTTCATTCGATTCTCTCACACTCAGGTTGTACAACGTTGCCAAGATGGGTACTTCACGTTCCCAAATACCAATTCTACCAATTCCCTCTTGGATTGCAGCAAAATGCTTGCTTACGGTAGGCAGGGCTTTTAGATTAGTATCATTTAATCAAGAAGGCTCGATCTAGCCTCAAATGGTTACTTATTTCCGATGATTAAGAGTGTAAATGATATTCGGTAGCTTAACATCTTAAAATAGCAGAGATAATAAAATGATAAGTTAGCAGTAACAGTACTAACCATTCGATTATACCATTAGTGGAATGCGCGCTAAGCAACTTCAGACTCATCAATCAGATATAAGCTTGTGATTGCGTACATTATAGCAAAAATTGCAATTTTAACTAATCACTATTGGCCACTTAACGAGGTACTATGAGCCCATTTTAAAATAGGGTAATGAAGAGTGTTTAACCATACAAAATGAACAAAACTTACGGAATTTTGAGGCACTGGAGTACGGGAATAACAAAACATCCACCCAGCAGCACAGTAATAATCACAATACTGATTGTAGTGGAGAAAAACATTTGTCTCACACCCGTACTCGTATTCCTAATCGAAAGAGAGAAAGCCATAGCTCCTCTCAGACCACAGAACACTAATAGATGCTGCCTATTCCAACCAATCAGACCTTTCCGTTCGGGAACAGCACCATCTTCACTAACATTGAACGATGGGGGCGTGATATCCCCAGAACTGACAGATATCGATCCGGGAGAGTGGAATCTCTGCCAGCCAAAAACAGAACCGACCTCAGAAGCCGGATAACTGCCTGTCCTCCTTCGTTGGCAGCATTGACACCGTACGGTGCATCGTTGTGACCGAGCACAATTGATTAGACGGGAGAGTGGGTAAATTGCACACATTCTTGAGACAACACAAGCAAACATTGTGATGAGGATGAACCAGATATCCCAGTTGTGTGAGGGGGCACTGAATGTAGAGACGCCAATGTAGGCGAAGACAAAATTCTCAGCGAGGAAACTCAATAGCTCAAAAAACTAAATGAGAAAAGTGAAGTCACCGTTAGATTCCATTTAGCAAGGTCATGCATAAATGTGACTTTTGAAAACATCAGCGTCTGATATTAACACAATATAATTTATTTAGTAATGCTAGAGATAATGCTAGTAGAGCCACTGAATGTGAAAATGATGCTCTGTTCCATCAAAATTTCATTCATAGGTGACAAAAACTATTGATCAGATAACAATAAAGACCAGAAAGAAGACATGTGGGACACGTTATCGCTCTGTGCGTCATCGTATGCCTGCATGTCTGCTCGCCAGGATTGGGAGGTGCGACCGTACAACTCTGTGTGCAGCGACCGTACAAACAGTGACCAATCATCAACCTCTGTTTAACCTAATCCCCCATCCTAATCATGAGTAGCTCCCTGCGTGTACACTTGATCCGCAATATAATCACTGAATAAACGTGCTCCGTGCTACACGTCTGTTTCCTTTATAGCTGGGCTATAGCTTAGCTGATTCTGGGAGTCTAGCTAGATGTTGGAGAATCTGCTATAGAGATTTCTGAGTCAGTCAGGCTTTACTAAGGTAGCAATCCGCTACAGACAATTAGGAAAAAAAAGGCTAAAATCGATTCAAACTGGCACTCTCGGTAAGCAAATATCCAGTCAAATATAAACTTTAAAAGAAGGAAATTAAAATTAGCTAAACAGACTCAGATAAAATTGATCACCTAAATTGCAAATTAAGTGAGATGATGGCTCACATTTCTAGAAAAAAAAAGAACTTCTGCGTAGCACATCCCAATAGCAAGTTAAAGATACTAGTATCAACTAAATAGTTGCTACGACAGTTAATAGCTGAGGTTGTAAAAAATGCAAAATGCAAAAAAAACTTGATCCAAATGAAGATTTATTTTAGATAAGGCAATGTGGGCTGAAAGAACATTTTGATCCATAAGAACAAAAAAGATGGAATAATTGATCAAGAAGCATTGAAGGATATGGAGAAGAGAGGAGACAACCACCTTACCACAATTACTACTTCCATCTCAAGTAGGAGAGAAGTAAAAGATACTCGAGATCCAAGCTCCTAAGAGGATCTCTGCGCATGACAGGAAGTGCTCCCGAACTGGCTGGTGTGTTTGCCAGCCTAACTCCCCATCAAATGTCTCAGTAGCATAATACTCGGAAACTTAAAACAGCAATAAAGTAACTCACTAGAAGTGCGAAAATATGTAATGAGAGGGACGCCTAACTGTACCAGTTACTAATTTTTCGATTCAAGCAATTTAAAATAATAATAAATAGAGAGAAGGTCCACAAAACTAATAGACCATTCAGGACCACTCGAGGTAGATCAATACGGAGCACAAGAAAGTAAAATACAAAATCCAAAATGGCATGGATTTTACAATTTCCCATTTTCGTAAGGATAGAAGTATATTTCCCACAACAAAATAACAAGTGGCTGGTCAGCCTAAACCAATATTCCGATAAATTTGTCGTTTATGAAGGTTTGTAAAAACTATCAAAAGCATCCGAAATAGTAATGTCAGGAAAAAAACGGCGATTTTACACTATATTTTTTCAATAAAACCCATAATTCAAACATCCTCCCAAAGTCAAAATAGATAACACGACATCATACAAAACACTTAAAAATAAAAAAAGATGAATAAACACGAACCTGTTTTGTCCAAACCTGAGATTCTCGAGAAAGATTATTGAATGTGTAGTGGGCTTGAGTGACTCCACAAAAGAGGAGAGCCACAATTCCTAAAGTAATTAAAAAACTAGTACAAATCAACAAAACCGAATATATAAAAAACGAGAAAAGCGAGAGTTGACTAACCGGTAAGACCGACAGCTTCAGACAAGAAGAAAGTGGTATAGGAGAGGAGCACAAATAAGACCGTTTCAAGTAAGGGATAATCCCTTATATGAGTATATTTGGTCAACAGAGCAGTAAAGCACCCAATAAATGATCCGAAGAAGAATGAACTAGCAAAATTAGCCACAAAACCCCAAACAGCAGATAGGAAAGAGGCAATGGTCATGGCTTGTTGAACTTTCGATTCAAATCGATCAACAGCTCTAAATTATGAACGATTTACAAACAGATGAAATGCCTACTTACTGAGAAAGCGACATAGCAACAGCATCATTGAGAACGCTTTCACCAAAAACCAATGCGTACATGTCCACATCAACATTCAAGTCGTGAAATATGGCAAGAACGGTAACTAAACAAAGACAAATAAGTCGAAAAAGACAAAATTACCCGGATCAGTAGCTGAAATGATTGCACCGAAGAACAAGCAATCACTGAAACGCAACCCCGCATTAAGATGGGGAATAAATCGTGATAAACCAAAACAAATGGCTCTAGAAAATCAAAACTATTTCACAATATATTAATTACGCGGTAGCAATGGATGCAATAAATGTTCCCGCAAAAGCAAACGTAGTAATCGCCCCGAAATTGCTGAAAAAATGTTTCTAAACAAAGGAACATAAAATAATTCAAAACGCCATACACGTTTCATGCTATAACCCGCGGCAAATATAATCGGCGGAAGCAATACATTGAAAAATATCTCTGGATTAAATGTCATCTAGGGAAAAATAATTCGAAGCATAAAAATCTTACTCTATAATGAGAAGAAATAGTGCCTTCCGATTCAAATTCAAGAGAGTAATGATAAAAACGTGAAGCTGCTTCCGGATGAAGAACAGTAAGGTTGAGAATCGCACGTTCAGGAGGAAGCAAAACTGTACAATTCGTACCGTTTGTTACAGTAGGAGTTAGATTACAGACATGAGTCGATACAGTACGTTCCGATACACCATACTTAAAAATGGCTCCAACAATCAAACCTAAACGGTTAAAAACGAACAATTATCACAATTGTACCATAAATAACAGCAAGCCCGGTTTCATGAATATAACGGAAACGACGATGTTTGAAAAGCCATATAGTTAGAACAGTTGCAGCCATAAGACATGTATATGTGAGCATATATAAATTGTCTAGACGATGCTCATGTTCAATGCGATCCTGGGTTTTGCGACCGATTTCATCAATGTTGCCTGATTTACAGGAAGTAACAGCGGCCATCTCGTTCTAAAAAACGCGGCTCATAAGTTATATAAACTGAGTTTCATCTGCGCGGACTCTGCTTAGGTAATTAAAAAGAGAATTAAAAACCTTGAAATGGTTATTCATTTTGTTAATGCATTGTATTTAAGAATACATGCACAACGCACGTCTGTGACAAATTTGACAATTAATACTGATTACATTTAAAAATGATGATTGTTTTAGGTTGTCTTTTATATTCTCTTAAATTCATAGTATGCGATTTTCCAAAATTGTTACTCCTATCAAATTCCAGAAACGTAATACCAATTTAAATCATATTTATATTTTTTATTTAATCTAATAATCGTTACCTATTGTGCTACTTTCCTATTTTTCTGCTTACTATAAAGCTCACATTAAATTATACTTTCCTTCTCGAATATCCTTCTTTATTTCATGCACATCAAATTGTCACAAGGAGTGTTTAAAACTAAGTTGTTCACATTAAGGCTACTTTCAGAATACGCACTTTATCCAAGTTTAACTTTTATTTTGAGTTAAATATATTGCAGATATGAATTCCGCTTTTTGATAATATCTTTCTGCTACTTATTATTAAATGTATATATTATGATCTCTGAATGAAAAGTTGCATATTTTTACTCCATTTTCAGTTCTATAAAAGTGATAATAGTCTCCAGATTTATCTATTGGGTCTATTGGGGAAAAATTGGCAAATGCTTTTTTTCCTATTTTTTCAAATATCGGACATCTTTTTAAGTATAAAAGATATATTTTTGATTGACATTTCAATTCGGACGAAGATAATTATTTTCCGATTTATTCAAATCCTTGGTTCGCATCTACAGAGCCAAATTCCTATGATATATTGTATCTCTTTTCAAAACTACTAAATTTGTAGACTATGGACGAATGCGTTAACCATCTGCCTTTGTGCCATTAATAGGGATTCTTCTAAGCAATATGCCCTCTTTTGCTCGAACACCGGTTTACTATCAATAACTAATGTGTAGTTTAGAGTTGTTCAAATGGTGAATATAACTTTCTATAAACCCTTGAGAATTTTTAGAAACGCTTTTCAATGATCATAGAATGCTGTATTCTAGATACTTTAAGCTCGTCTTGTTTTACCCTATCAACACGTTATATAGTCCAACTAGTTGGTATTTCACACCACGTTGCGTGAGCAAAGTAAATAAACCGCTTTTAACAGCATTATGGTTGCTAAGCTGAATTGTGCTGTGTCAACCTGCTTTTATGTTCAATAATGTCTTGTATCCACTACCCATAAATGGACTAAGCATGTCAAGGTTTACAGAAAACGAGAACGTAAATGCGTTTAAAATATACATTTGCGTCATTTTAATCTAAGACAAATTTACTACAGGGCCTAAATGATTGAAACCTTGAAAAGGGAGATAACAAAATTTTATTAATTTATATGTGAGTGAGATTCATTTAATCTACAAGTATGTCGAAATTACATCTGATTAAGATATAAGCTGTAAATCGCGTTGCACATAACATTACGTAGAGAGAATGAAAAGTAAAACATCCCGATTTTTTGAACGGTAAACCGTATGCGTCTTTTGAAGTTGATGGGAGCCTAAATTAGCTTTCGAATTTATTATTATTTGCCATAATATATTCCCAATTATTGAGTAAACATGAAGGAATTTGGTGAATAATTGTAGTAGCAAGGCAATTTTAGAAACCAATTCTAAAAGATTCCTACGCTTCGAGTGGTACATTTTTTGAAAATATTTCCTCATCTTCAGTTTAGTAATCTAGATATTGGAAGCGGCCACTTTAATGATGTAATGGGCCTGACAACCCAATTTACTTGACTTTACCCGTAAGCATTGATAATGGGTGAGATGAAACTGCTCAGAAATTGGTATATCAAACCTTTATATTCGACCACTCAAGTGACGAACGTTGGTCAATAAATACCTACCGACAACCAAATGAATCCAAAAGTGTTTTGAGTGTAAGCGTCATTTAATAGCCTGTATTAGTTTCCCTTTTCTCACTGTTCCTTGTTCATTTTGTGCTATATTGGTTGGTTTTTCTGTTATCTTATGTAGAAGCTTCCTCACGGGTTAAAATAGGATTTTTTCATTAAGAAGAAAATACCCAAGCAAATTGAATGAGTGGAGAAAACAATCCCATCTATATAGTCAAAGCTAAATGCTTTAGTCTGAGACCTCAATTTATGCAAATAAAGTCAACTTAGTTTAATTCAACTAGAGGCACTATTTTCTTCTCAATGATTCATCAAGTGTGCATAAACCACATCCACTCAACTAGCACTTACGGACAATACCTCGAGTATATATTTACCTTTAATGTAATCGTAAGTCTGTCAAAGGATTTCCAAATTGTTGTATTTGCTCACCCTGACTCATAAGCCTGCTTGATATCTGTATGCCTTGAGCACCAACCTCTCGCCTTTCCTACAATGGGGCATCAATAAAGAAAGATTGTAAAATAGGTCAGTTGCCCTATCGTATGCATCTTGCCTGCTTCTTCCAATCGGGGTTTCTCATGCTTAGTACTGACGCTTGACTCTTCAATTTCAATTCCTTCAACTCCTTTTTCGTCCTATTGAAAGTATTCCTAAGCAGATTTTAGCTAAGGAAAATCTTTTTGCACCAAGCCAAGTAAGGGCATGTAGAGGAGCACACAGTTTATAAGCTTATGACGAATGGAAATAAGGACTATAATGAACAAAAATGGCAAATAGAATGAGAGCTTCACCTAGAGTTACGTTGTCTCATGACTATGCATCCTAGTTTAGTCACTTTCCCCTTTGTCCTCGAAGTCCGATCCTCCCCATTGGTCCATTCAGTGAATCTGTACTTACCATGCTGGGCACCAATAACTCATGTTGCAAGTTGTAATTCAAATATCGAACGTATCGACATACATTCAAATTCACTTCAAATTGAAATTTCCTAACTTTTGGTGTAAAATAGCTTAAATGACTTTCAAACACTATTTAGGCTTATGGTCATCTTCAGGAACATATTTTGGCCAAAAGATTATCCACATATTCAAACCTAACATTTTAAAGCATGCGGCAATTTAACTTTCGCGTGTAGAGTAAAAGAAAGTTATGAATTAATTAAAAATTAGGTGGAGTTTTATTCTACCCAAGAAATTGGTTAAAGACGAACAAAAGTCAACAAAGAGCACGCCACACAAGTCCCAACTTGGCAGCGATTAGTGTATCCCACAGTTTTAAGGCACCTTTTTCTTCTTCTTCAATGCATGGGAAAGAGTAGGATACCATAGTCATTCTTGTTCAGATACGAGCGAACGATACACATTATCGCCCTGTCCAAAATAGTCATATCAGAATTCCTAGAAATATGAACAAAAATAGGAAACTAAATAGGAATAGAAAAAGCTAATTTGCAATAATAAACAGGAAGGGAATACTTCTAGATAACCACCCATTAAAAGCTCATTTTTTCATATTAATGGTCCCGGTGTCAGGAAAAACAAATTTAAAGCTCTTTTTAACACTGCAGGAAGACTGACTTTGGAAAAACATTTCCGATTAACTATAGCATCTGAGGAGTTAAGTCAGAGGGTTCGGCAAAAAAAGACATCACTTTTGTAGGTCTTTGCAGGCCTCTTGTTATAAAAGTTTTCGAAGAACCGGGATCCAAGTAGAACAAGAATAAAAGCCAATAGAAATTTATGGTTGTGGAAGGTCAAGCGAAGTCAAGTTGAAGTACTTAGATTGATTGGACTCCTAATGACAATATCAGCTAACAATATCGATTCTCGTAGTTAAAAGTGCAGGTCCTAGTCTCTGATCAATTCGAGTGAGAACAAAATGTGTGAGACTCACGACTCTGCAAATATCGGCACAAAAGTAAATAGTGTTTTATTGACAAATGAAGCCTGCTAAAGGGTATTTGAGTATTCAGAGATGCGAGATTAGTGCCGGTAACTAAATACAAAATTTATAAATTTTTGATTTAATGCCCATTATCATCCAGCGGATGTAAGGGTTAACTCTGATGATGATGATGATGATGATGAATTTCTGGCTGAATTTTTCAGATCAGCCATTAAAATAAAAGCACAATTTACCCCTTTTGAAGCATCGTTTTGACTGCAGTGAGAAATTTTTTAAGTACTTTTATTCATTTATATAAAATGGCAGATATTTCGATCGTTATCATTAGCCCTTTAGTTGACTTCAGGCTTCACAGAGGAGGAGAAACATCAAAAAGAAACAAATCGCGAGGGAGAGGGGGAACAGAAGAGAGTTTCAAAGATGTAAAAAAGGCAGACACAAAAGTGGAAAAAGGTGAGGTGAGTACTGTGAAATAGTGCACCACGTGGAGGTAAGTCTATCGCACACCCCCGTATATATACATATACATATACATATACATATATATATATATATATATATATATATATACTTGAAACAAAGAGTGTGCGATAGACTTACCTCCATATGGTGCACCCTGGACAACGTATACCCATACGGCAAAAAAGTCTTTTAACCGGTAGTTGACTTTTGGCTTTAAACTACCATCACCCCACTGTATGTCATATTCGACTACTTCCACAGTACTCACCTCAACTTTTTCTACTTTTTCTACTAAAGGGCTAATGGTAACTTTTACAACGCCTGCCA